ACGAGCATGCACGCTCTCAAATAAATAAAATCTTTAAAAAAAACTAAGGTACTTTCAGAAATTTAAAAAGACATGGGTAGAGTATCTAAGAGTTATTCCTAATAGCAAATTCTTTTTAAGAGCTTATAATCAATCAATAGGGAAACAACTAAGTCAAAAATGTACCATCTACTCAATGGTATATTACAGATTTTTAAAAAATAATGATTATAAAGATTATATAGCCAGGATATTAGGCTATAAATCTAAGTTTAAAGAACATACAAATTTTATACAATGGTTTAATTAGATTTATCCACATCAAGAATAAAAACACCAAAAAAACTAGGTAAGTCTGATACTATTTCAAAATCTTAAGAACACCTAATACATTTAGAACGTGATAGGCACTTGATAAATGAATCTATTAGCATTATCTAAATATGAGGTGGTATCATTGCTTAGTTTCAGAGAATTACCTGGAATGAGAAAAAGAAGGAATTTTTTCAGAGAAGGGGGAAGGGAAAGAGGATGATTAAGCCTGGGGGATGGGGGCTTGCGCATTTCCCGAGTGGGTTGACCACCTGTTTTTCCACCATCTTAGCACTTGGGGAAAGCTCTCTTGGAAATGGGCTTAGTAGCAGCAGGAAGAACCATGACTGATTCAACTGACCATGAAGGGTATGAGATGCTGGAATCCGGAAGTGAAGCTGGGTGTGGTGGCCAGATTCCCAGGGCTTCTCAGTACACGGTTGGGCCCAGTTGCTAGGTTGGGCTTGTGCTGCCGTGAGGCACAAAAGGGAGAAAGAACTTGAAGATACTGGATAACCTGCCCTCCCCAACCATTCAAGTCCCCAATCAGGTCTTCAGAGTCCCCTTGACTGATGCTCAGAACTTCAGCTTCTGGCGGTCCCATGATCCAGGAGTGCGCCCAGAGGAAACCATGCCATGGATCCGAAGCCCCCGCCACGGCCTCATCAGAAGCCCAATGACCAGGTTAGGCTGGGATGGGTGAGGGTGAGGAGACTAAGGGAAGAACTCCCTCCACTTAAATCCTTAGAGACTGTTTCATCTGAGTTAGGGAATAGAAGACAAAGTTGGAGTCTTACCAGGGATAGCTGGCCCCAGAATCTGGCATTCCAAGGAGTTAAAGCTTTGTTTCTATCTTTGTGTTTCGCCTTGTGGCTATGACTTCTGGGGCAAGCACAAGACAAGTGTCTATAGCTTTCCTAGGGGAGTCCAGGGATGTTTCTGCTCCCTTCATTGCTGCCGCCCACCCTCCAACCTCTATTCACTGGCAGTAGCCATACTTCCTCATTACTGCCCCTGCCCTCTCTGCCCTGAGGCAGTCTTGGGAGATGTTGAAGGACACCACCACATATACACCAGCCTGGCCTGGCCTGGCCGAATCTGAGACCCTCTCTCTCTTTTCCAGGTTCATGGATCACTCTGTTCTCAGTGACAGAAACTTCAGTCTGTATTGAGCAGGATGTGTTTGCAGAAGAGCAAGATGGACCATGGAAACAGGGCAAAGAAAGAGAAAGTGGGAGAAGGTGTCCTGGTTCCACTGACTGACTAATGAGAGGAGGGGATCGCAAAAGCAGAGTAAACAGATTGGACTAGAAGTCACTTGTGTGTGCTGGAAGTGAAGCAGAGGGAAATTATTCCAAAGCCCAAATTCCTGTGAAATCAGATGTATGGGGGCCAGAATGTGGTGTTTGGTTTGGGAAGGGGCCAGGGTACAGAAAAGACCACCAAGGGGGTCTTGACCTCATGAATGGCAGGTGTCAGAGTAACAAGTCTGGGAAGACACACACTGGTTCTCATGATGCTGAAGGGTCTAGAGTAGTCATGCTCTCTGAAGACTGCAGCTTCACCTTGGCAGCGAGAAAACCAGAAGAAGCCCTCTAACCACAGAGGAAAGAGGCTCAGAGCCCTCCAGCAGGAGGCTGCCTCCTATACCCAGCTCTGCCACTTCTGACCCAACCCAGGGCCCAGAACATCTTCAGAGAGCTAGGAATTTTACAAAGAATTTGATTTTATTGATATTTAAATATATTAAATATTTCACTGAAATACATGATACACAACCCTCCCCCCCCCCACAGTGGTTACATTATAAAACCAAAGTCCATGGGCCTCCCATCCACTGACTCCCCCATCACCTGGTGAGAAAGGGGGCGATGGTAGCCCAGGAGAAGGGCATGGCTGGCACTGTGGTATGGGGAGTTGGTGTGGACAGGCCCCTCCCACTTGGCAAGAAGCAAAGTCAAGTCACCGAAGACTGAGGTCTTCCCACTCTGGTCTCCTTACACCCTCACCCCCAACCCAGGGCTCCAAGCAGTCCTTCCTATCCAGGGATATGGCTGGGGAAAGGAAGTTGATTTTCTGTCTGGACCAACTAGTCTTTTCCCCTCCTCCTGCCATGGCTAATGAAGTGCCCGATGGCCCATTTGGTTGATGCATGAAGATCCCCCAGGGGAGGCAATATAAGCCAAAAACCAGGCCTCTGCAAGGAGCTTGAGTCAGAAAGGGCACGAGGAAGGGCAAAGTACCACCTATCCCTTCCATTCCCCAAACCCAGCAACTCTGGGACCCTCCTCTGTCTCTCTCATCACCTCCAAGACAAAATGATGTTCAAGCAAAATTCAGGCTAATGCCTCTGGCTTAAATAGGTACAGACAGAGAAACCAAGGCACCAACTAATTCAGGCCTGAGGCAAGGAGGTTTTGCAAGGAAAGGAGTAAAAGGAAGGCAGAGATAGGAAGGGAATCTAGAGTCCAACCTTCCAACCCTCCTTTCTAGCCCTTGCAGGCTTCATGGGGACTGGGGAGCCTGGAACATGCTAGACTGAGACTGAAGGCTGCGGAACACCAAGTTTCAGGTTCCCTTGCCCCATTCCCTAGTACCAGAATCTGGGTCCTCAGAGAGATCCCATGCTACCTCGGTCCCAAAGTATACCACCAGCTGGGGAACCCAGGAAATCCCTGAGCCTCTGCCCACCAAACCCCAGACAGGTCAAGTGCATGGAGCACTGAGGCTCAAGCAGGCGCTTGGGTCCCTGCCCCTGGCAGGGAGACAGTCATGCTGCACACGTGGCCCCCAAATGGCACTTAGGGATTTGGCACAAAAAGGACTCCTCTCCCCAGGGCCACCTTCTTCTTGCTACCACACCCCATGCCACTCCTGTGCAACCTAGGCATCTCTCTCCATCCCTTGAAATCAGAAACCCTTCCTTATTCCCGGAAGACGGAGGCCCACAGGAGAGAGGCAACCCCGGGTAGAGAGCTGAGGAGGAGCACAAGGACACACACAGACCTGGGAAACAGCTACACACACAAAGGCCGACATGCACACACATTACACAGACACACACGCCCTCCCCAGGGCCAAAGACTTGGGAGGACAGGTTTGAGATCAGGGTCATCCTCCTCCATGCCCTGACCCTTTTCTATTTGGCAACAGAATGGGTAGAGATGCTCTGTGTCCCCTTGCCAGCAGACAGGCAGACAGAG